TTGGGTACTATGCTTATTACTTGGGTGATGAAATTATCTGTACACCAAACCCCAGTGACAAACAGTTTACCTGTATGACAAACCTGTACATGTACACCTGAACCTAAAGTCAAAAAATAAAAATAGGCCAGGCCCGGTGGCTCACTGTAATCCCAGCACTTAGGGAGGCTGAGGCAAGCAACCTAAGGTCAGGAGTTTGAGACTAACCTGACCAACATGGTGAAACCCATCTCTACTGAAAAATACAAAAATTAGCTGGGTGTGGTAGCAGGTGCCTGTAATCCCAGCTACTCCGGAGGCTGAGCCAGAAGAATCACTTGAACCTGGGAGGCGAAGGTTGCAGTGAGCTGAGATTGCACCATTGCTCTCCAGCCTGAGCTACAGAGCAAAACTCCGTTTCGGGAGGGGGTGGAAATTAGCTGTGGAGAGGCAAGGGGAAGAAGCAGTCTAGCTCACAGAAAGTTATCTACCCTCATACTCAACAAAGCAAAGTTAACGTTAACTCACTCCTCCCTCAGTATCAGTCTCACAGAGGAGTCTCTGTTACAGAATTATTATGAAAATACTCAATTTCAAAGTGGGTAAGTAAAAACCCACATATCACAAGTGTATTCACAAATGAACAGGACATTCATTAAAACCCCAATCACATCCAGATTTTTGTCCCTCTCTGACTAATCATTCAGGGTGCAAAAATACAATACAAATTAATTGCAATGTTAATCCTTGAATCATCACACAAGTAGCAGGTTTTCAAAAAGTCATCAAGGTGATGTTAGAGAACTGGGAAATCACAGGCAACTCAACTAACACAAATAATTAACAACTGAAGAAGAGAAAATTGACAGGAATAATGACACACACATAGGTACTTTAAGAGAATCATGTGAATAAATATAAAAAGTGCTAATGGGAACTGAGGGAGTCGTCAAATGTTTTTCTGCAAAGATGATTATCCTTTTGACTGCTACTACAAAAGTTAACTGTGAAGTAAGGAACAGAGTAATACAATTCTATCCGAATAAAATGTCCCCTCAAAAAAGCAAACACTGGTTACTTTCATGATCATGGTTATAAAAAATAATTGGTTAAATATAAGAAAAAAACAGATGGTGTCTAATACTACAGTTTTCCCCCAAGACAAAGTTCCAATCAAAGCTTTTATTCACTACTGACTATGAAATTAGTTTTGTCTGCAACTTAAGTAAATTCACTTTTAGTAGCCTTTTCTAGTACAAATTATCCTCAAAACTACCATTAGTACCATGTAAATGGTTCAATTACTTTGCGTATCTCATTGCATTATTGACACATCTCTATTTTCTGTTTTCCTAAGTAGCAGCTTCTTTGGGCTACAAGCAGACTTACTCATCTTTGTATCTCCAGAACTTAGAACAATGTACAGCACACAGAAGTACAGAATACATTTTTCATGAAGTGATTTCCATGTTCTAAAATATCTAAGCAATTATTAAATTATGTTAAAATTCATAGTTTTATTAAATTTCTCCAAATGTACTTTCTGTTCAACTATATAACAGCCTCCCAGATACAGTACTGCCTTTAAAGAGCCTCAGCTCAAGTAAAAGAAATAAAGTACATGTAGTAAAGCGCAAAGCATAGCCTTGTATGTATCAGAGGACTGCAGATGAAATCCACAGGAAATCCATAGGAAAAGAGACTACTTCCAGCTAAAAGAATCAGAGCAAGTTTTGTGGAGAAGGTTGTGTCTGAGTATTAATTTGCAGAAAGGGTTAGATTGGATGTGTGGAAATGGGAGAGTAAGGAGAAAATTAAAGGCAGCAAAGTACAAGGCACATAAAAGAAAAAAAAACTGTTCAGCTACATGAAATGAGTTTAAGTAAAGGAGAGTGTGCTCAACAAGATTTTTATAGTTGGGTATAATATAAAAATATTAGAGGGGCTCAAACACCAGGTTGTAAAATATGTGCAGTTGTTTTTACAAGTATAAACCCCCTAAATATTTTTTGAAAAGAGAAATAACATGATCATAACTGTAACTAGGGAATTTACCAGCAATAAACAAGACTCAAAGTAGTCTTGGTGAGAGCTAATGATGGTTACAGCAATAAGAATGGTCAAGAACATATGAACAAAAATGATATAATAGATATCAAAGAATATAATTATCTGTACTTTGCAACAAGGTGCAAGGACAAGCCAAAAGTCAAATATAAACTGTTTTTAGGTATAAGAAATGCCATTTGAATTTACTTAACACTTATATAAGCTCTACATGTCAAGAAAGAATAGACCTGGGAAACATTATAAATCTCTGTATTATATTCACAGAACATAAAAGTGTAAAGTTTCTGTTTAGCATTTGAAGTGGGACCAGAGTCTTGAAAAAAACTTAATGTTGCTGATGTAATAGTCACTTACAGAGATGATGAAACAGCCAAAGAAGACTGTGTAAGTGAAGAAGTTGATCCCAGACAGATCCTCATAAAACACATACATTTGAAGAAAAAGAGGAAGAGTAGAAAATATAATCAGAGAAGTAAAGCAATAATCAAGAGACAGAAACCAAATAAGACAGTTTTAAGAATAAAGGAGCAATGAGCTGAGTTAAATAATATAAAAAGGATAAGGAAGACCGGTATCATTGGACTTGAGGAGTTCAACAGGACATTTTTGGAAAACAACGAAGGCAAATGACAAACTATGAGTAGAGAAGAGAGGATAAGAGAGTAAAAGAGACAAAGACACAGATTATTCTTTCTTGCGGCTTGGAGGTTTGAAAAGAGGAGATGGGCATGTAATTTAAAGGAAGAACAGAATGAGAGAAAAGCTTTGTTTCAAACAGGGTAATTTGATATGTTTATAAGTTGTGAGAAGATGCTAATTATTGATTTTTAACCACTGACAAATGTTCCATAGTCAACAGAATTCCAAGGCAACCTTAAAGCTTAGGCCATTTGAACTTTCACCTTGGGAATTTGGTGCTTGAGGTGGCAATGTTTAACAAATATTGTGCTAGAAAAGGAAGTCCTTAAAAGTCAGTAACTGTGGATGCTTTTAACTCATAGTGGACATCTACCTAATGGCTGACACATACTTCTTATACACTGTAAGTTTCAAATAAAGTCCATTTCTTGTATTTCCATACTTTGTGCTTTTTAAACATCTCCACTTCAATAATGATAACAGCAAATGCTCTAAGAAATATCATATCAAGAACCTGATAAACAGACTGCAAGTCTTAACAATTTAATAAAATAATTACATATGTTGCTTTCTTCTAAGAAATATAATAGATACTTTTTAAACAATTTTCAGTTTCTTATAAAATAAGATTATCTCCAAAAGTAAGTGGGGAAACTAAACCAAGGAAATTATGGGCTCCCCAAAACATCATTTCTCAAATGGTTTTGTCTGAACAATAAAACTAAAATCATAAACAGAATCTGAAACAGCTATTTTTCAAAGACTGAAGTACCAGTCTTGACAAATCATTTGACAAAAATGATCACTATTTAAAAATAGATAACTGTGTCTAGAGAGTTATATGTAAGTGGCAATTTTAAAATACATACTAAAGGGTGGGGAGGAATAATTACAATGATCCCTGAAATAGATTCTTAAGACTTCTTGGGGAAAAAAACAGAAAAACTACATGTAAAATAATCAAATTATTAATGAAAAACTCATATTGAGATTATCTTATTTACTAATGTGAAAGTCCTTTTTACTTTTCTCAATGATGCTAAAGACTTCTAAAGTTGTACAATCCAAATATAAAGTTACTCTAATAAGAAGCCTATAAAACTGGAATAGGAATCTGAAAGTTTCACTGCTTATAATCTGAAAACTTAATTCACTGAGTAATAAGGAATGCTTCTAACATGAAATTAGTTCTGTATCAAGTCTTTATAAAACTATAAATTTCTATACTGTTATTTTCCTTTCAGGAACTGAATATATACAACCAGTCTTCATTATTTGTGGACTCTATATTTAGGAATTTGCATACTCATTAAAATTTATTTGTAACACCAAAATTCATACTTGAAGCAATTTCTTGGTCATTTGCAAAGTAAATGCACAAAGCAGCAAAAAATGTGAATAGCCAGATGTGCACATTACAGCTAATGTCAAAGAAGGCAACACCATGCCTTCTTGTTTTAGCTTTCATACTGTAAACAGTGTCCTTTTTGAGGTCTATTTAGTGCCACATTTTTCACAGTTTTGTGGTTGATGTTTTTGTTATTTCATGATGAAGTATTGTCTGGTGCTCCAAAGCACAAGCATAGTGATGAACTGCTCTCTGGCGTTCCAAAGCACAAAAAGGGTATGATATTCCTTACAGAGAAAATGTGTGTGCTAGATAAGCTTTGTTCAGTAATTTGTAATTCACTGCATGAATTACAGTGCTATTGGCTGTGAGTTCAGTGTTAATGAAACAACTATATATTATAAATAGGTTGTCTTTAAACAGAAACATACATAAAACAAGGTTGTATATTAACTGGATGATGAAAATGTGGCCAGGGGCTTGAAGGAACCTATCCTTGTAGTTCTCCTAAGAGCAATTGTTCAGGATATGCTAACTGAATGCCTGTGATAACATTATAGAACAAAACTATCGCAAATAACAAGTGTCAACTGAACCATGTTACCAAGCCAAAACTTAATGACAGTTTCAGAACTCTGAAATATTTCTCATGCATAAATTTTTCAAAAACAAACAAACCAGAAACATTCAAAATTTTAATCTCTGTATCACAGTGGATTTTTTCCTTCCTAAAAGTCAAAGGCCTTCTATAGCGGTTGTACACAGCCATTTTCCTTACATTGATAGCTAACGCGCATAGCTGATATTGTTCTAATGTGATGATTTCATGGTAACAGGGTTCTTGTGCCAGCTTCACAATAGCACTCCCAGCAGCAAGTCTCAGACGTGACATATCTGGTTTACTGAAAAATGAGCAAGAATGAATATAGATTAGAATTTAAAATGTTTGTACAAAATCTTCTGTACATCTAATTTTATTAAAAATTCTGGCAAAAAAAAAAAAAAAGTAAAAAATGTTGCAATCTGAATGTTTGTGTCCCCCAAAATTCCTATGTTGAAATGCAAGTACCTAGAAGATAGTATTAGGAGATTGGGCCTTTGGGGAGGGAATTAGGTCACAGTGGGGAACCCTCATGAATGTGATTAGTGCCTTATAAAGGTAGCTGGCCTGAGCAGGCTCATTTACTACTTCTGCCATTTGAGGACACAGCAAGTAGTCAGCAGTCTGCAACCCTGAAGAGGGCCCTCACCAGAACCCAACCATGCTGGCACCCTGATCTTGGATTTCCCAGCCTCCAGAACTGTGAAATATAAATTTCTCTTGTTTATAAGCTACTTAGCCCATAATATTTTATTGCAGTAGTCTGAGCAGACTAAGATAATAATTTAGTGGTACTGAACACCACATTATGCTCATTTAACTTTGGAAGATGTTGTCTAATACTACAAAATTCTTCTTTTAAACATAAGTCAATGCTAGCGTCACTCAAGTCATTTAATTCCCTCATTCTAAATAAAACAGGTCTTAATCAAGCATAGAAGAAATCTGTATGTTTAGTTGTTAGGTTTTATGTATTCTACCATGGATTTTGTTGAAGATATGTTTATGTATACATGAGGCACCAAATATGTTCTAGCTTGCTAATAAATCAACCACAACTACTGTGCTAAGCACAAAAGAAGTAGAATGAAAGCAGGTATGGTAAGGAAAACATTACTATTCTTAGCTATAATTCAACTTTTCAAATATTACCAAGAGGATTTAAGTTCGAGGAAAGACAACTGCTAAAATGAAGCACAATTCATAGAATTCTAGATTAGTAAATACATCTAAACAATACTTCCTAATATAGTAATATATTAGCTGAAATGCAGGCGGATCTTGAACAAATATAAGAAAGGAAAAGTTCTAACTCCTTAAATAGAACCCCCTTTGTAGCTCTATAGTAAAAGATTGTTATTCAACATCCATGCAACAAATCTATGTCTATTGTGTATATATAGCACTGCAGGGTATTTAAAATAAAAGACACAGTCTTAGTTTTCCAAGACTTAATAATTAAGTAGGCCATGTAAAAATATTCACTGAATGCTAGCCAACATTAGTAAGGTTCTAAAGTTGTAGGACCTTGTCTCAGAGGTGTGTCTCATCTCACCAACAATATTCCAAGTAGCTACTAATAGGGAAATTATAGTTCTTAATGCAAAGAGTACAAACCACCTGCTGGATGTTCTCCTCATAGATTATGGATAACAGATGCTTCCTGTGTATTCATCCTTAAAATTTCCTGTCTAGACGAGAAGTTTCTATTTGACCTAGTAAACATTTTTGTTGTTTTTGTTTTTAGCTTTATTAAGCAGAGGAAACTTTTCTTCAAATCAAGTCTTACACAAAAATTTAAGGTGTAAACACAAAAAATCACTTTTGCTTAAATAATACAAGCTTCCTATTTAAGGAAAGGACAGAGACCCCCACCTACCAACTCCCAAGACTCTCTCTGTTCTGTTTCTACCAGAAATAATTCTTATTCAAACTCTAGGCAGCCCCTAAATATTCCTGAATGTCATTGGGTTCCACAAAACACAGCTTAAGTGACATTATATACTGGGTATCATTCCAATTACATTACATATTTTAATACATATAATCCTTACATAATCTCTATAAGAAGATATTATTATCCTCATTTTACAGATGAAGAATCTAAGATATACAGAAGTTAAATAACTTGCTGAAAAATAAAAGCAGCTGATAAATGGTGAAACCTGAATTTGAACTTGTGCAGTGTGTCTTCAATCTGCCTCCTTGTCCTAAACCACCAAAGTATTTTGCCTCTCTGATAAAAGTTTATATCGCTGAATATAACTGGGCAAATAAGAAGTATAAAATAATGTAATTAATAAATTGATTTATAAGACAAAACGTATTAACACTGAGGAAAATTTCTTTACCAGGCTGAGCTGATCAATACAAAAGTATTTCAAACGCAGTAAAAATTCTAAATCAAAACATACTTATTATTTGTAGCTCCTAAAAACTGGCATATATAAATTATGGGAGAGATGAAAACAATTTATTAGAATTAAAGAAAGTAGACAGATCAGTTGTATATACAGAATGAATACCAAGTTTTTTTTTTAATATGTTTGGTTTAAGAAAGATGTGTTTCTGTTAATATTCTATGAAAAGAATATAGTATAAGCAAAATATACAAGATGGAAAGGCAGACGGTAGCAGGTAGTCATCTTTTTATGTTGTCTTATCAAAGTCTTTAGATATACTAAGGAGGTATAGAGCTGTTCTCCTATTTTGTATTACCAAGAAGGGGCGCTAAATGGCACTTGGTTTACATAGAGGAAAAACCTCTAAATTTTAATTAACAATGACATAATAACCACTATTAACATCAATGCTTAACCTCTAAATTTTAACTAACACTGACATAATAACCACTATTATCATCAATGCTTCTAATTATTATGTGCTAAATAGTGTTTTTAAAACCTTCGATATCCTAACTTACCTAGTTATGTCATAATAGCTAGATGAGCTGGGTACACATAATTATTACCTCTACTTTAAGGAAAGTGAGGGACCAAGAAGTTAAAACAACTTTCTGAAGTTCACCTGACTAGTAAGTGGTGGAGCCAGAATTTGAATCCAGGCACCAGAGTCCAGTAGTTTTCAATCACTGCACTATACTACATCTTTCAAAGAAAATAAAACAAAATAAAATAACAAAAACCAAAAAAGTGTGTTTGTTTTCAATAATTTACTTCAAGTAAATTTTTAAAGTATGCATTTATTATAGTTCTGGAAATAGATTCAGTAAGTTGCCTTCCACCCAGTCTGTTTTTCCCCTTAGATGTTTAACAAGAATGTGAAACACCAGTTACTGACTGGTACACTCACACTTTCATATGAAATATTCTAAAATATAAGACTCTATTATTTAAAATATTTACAATGTATAATAGTATCCTGCACCAGACATGTGACTGCCATTGTAAAATAACCACTGTACAAAAGCACACTACAGTTAAAATATATGCACATGTACAAATACTATTTTTTAAAAAAAGAAAAGCACCATTCAACAGTTACACCAAGAGTTGAAATATCGTGCAATCCGAAGAACTGTGAAATAGTAATTGCATACCTAATTTTCCCCTGTTCTGTCAAGTCTCCATCACTATGCAATATTGTTGTTAGCAATCTTAAGGTAGAAGTTCCTGATTTACTGTGATTATTTTTCATTCCAAGTAGCCATCGAACCATCATTTTAATAGCCTGAATCTATTTAAGAGACAAGTTGAGAGATAAAACATTGGTACATTTTGAAAGAATTTCTGTATCAACTTTTTTGAAAAATAAAATGTATTTAATGGATGCTTTTTAAGAAAAGAAAAAAATTCTTTTCTTATATATGAAGATAATCTTGAACATTTTGAAGATGCTTCAAATCTCCAAGAAAGTGGCAAAAGAATGATTTGACTAAAGACTAGTTTGTTCTTTGCTGCTGTTTTAAAATGTTTCCCCAACATGCATTTGATCCTTTAGAACGTACAGTAAAATTATGCTTAACCTCTCTAATCAGAAAAGTTAAGTTCCCAACTACAAATTACATTTATTCTTTTCTGCCTAAAAAATTATACCACTCATATTTATGCTACATTTTATAATTATGAAGTATTTAAAGTATTTTTACACACATTACTTCCTTTAATGTTTCCAATAATTCTTTTGAGGAAGTATATATTACCTCTTTTTAAAATGATGTACAAATTATCTGTTTTTCACATCTTATCTCAGCTTTTTACAGAGATAAGACTCAGGTGCAAAGAGTGTCTTCGATAATGTCTGGCTCACAGCAGACACTCTGAAGATCTCTTTCCTGGCCAGTTGGTAAGTATGACTTACCTACCAACTGGTAAGTTGGTAACTGGCAAGTTGTTAAGTGCCCTACCTTCTAGTCCAGTGCTGCTCTCAAGTATACAAAAACTGCAGCTTGAGACTAATGCTGAGAAAAACAGGTTTATACTGAGACTCAAAGTATCAAGCATCATTCACTGATGTAAAGGTGGGGCTACTAATATAAGTCTGCAAAACTAGCATCATAACCTCAGCTAAAATAATGTGAAAAGATAGTTCTTAATACGAACTATAAACACACACACACACACACACACACAGAGAGAGAGAGAGAGAGAGAGAGAGAGAGAAAGAGAGAGAGAGAGAAAGGGTTTATAAGAAATTACAGCTAGAAAATAACAATATTTAATATACTTATTCCTGGCTTTCGTATCTTGGTAGTGGACTGAGATGAGGTCCACTACAGACCAGAGATGGTTTTAATAAATCAAGTGTCTATACCCATGATGAGCAATCTTATAAAACTCCTAATTCAATAAATTATAGGTTGAATTTTTTAAAGATAAAAAGTTTTATTAAATCTCATGGAAAAGATGAACAGGCTTAAAATTCTGGATTCTCATCTTTAAGGAACAGAGGAAAGTCCATAAACTAGCATTGCCTTTTGCCATCAGGGAAGCAGCTTTTAAATCTTTTTTTCCCCTCAAAGTACATTATGTGCAGCTGTCCACAAAACCTAGCTTTCTCATTATTATCCTATAGAGTCACAGCACATGATAATGCCATACAATAAATATAAATACACTTGACTGATTTTAACATCTTTTCAATAGAAATAGAAACTTTAATACCTCAAATATTATAATATGGAAAGTGTATTAAAATCAATAGATCTATGCATATTACTCACTTTGACCATTGTCTCAGGTGACACTTCTTCATCTGGAACCCAAAGTTTAGTTGTCTTTTTTCCTGGAAGCTAAAAAAAAATCAAGGTTTTTAAAACATAAATATAAATTCTCCTTTTCAATCAGCACTTAGAAAATGAATGAAATCCCTATCTTCTGCAATGACATTTGTTATGTATGACTAAAGTACCTCATCTAACCCTATTTACCTTTTTAAAAAAGGTTGAAAGGCATACCTTCACTAGCACCTATGTACAGCACTTATAGACCATCTCGACTGGTTCTTTCTAGGTGTGTGTAGGACTAACTCTAACTTCTTACAAATCACTCCCTTACTTAGCCCCTTTTGAGATTCAATTATTTAATACAGGTGGCAAAAACTAGGATTTAAAAAAAAAATCCATGGAGCCAAAAGGTATACATCTTAAACAAGAGGAAAGGTACTTAAAAAAAAATCTTGAGTTGGAGGGTTTTTGTTTTTGTTTCAGTACAACCCCAAACTAATTCTGAGGTAATTGGAGTTGGATGTTTATAGTGGTAGCCAGGAAATTAAAATAAGTTGGCAAAAGAGCTGAACCCAATCTTGGAACACTTGAGATCCCATTTTTACCCTCAGGTCAAAGAACAGAAATTGAGTATCACCTCAGGTAATCCTCTGGCAACAAAACTGGTAGCCCCAACATCTAAAAAGGCAAACTCCCTCAAACACAAAGAGCTACAGATTCACACATAGTTTAAGACTCATTTCTTCAGTTGAGAAGTGCCTTCAAAGTATGAAATAAAAATAATAAAAAAGGAATCACATTAGGCACCTTGCAATGAAATTTCTAAGGATGTCAAGATCCTAAAAGCTTCCATAGAGAAGCTACCAAAAAGGAATAAGAGTCAGATTAACTTCAGGTTTCTCAGCTGCAAGACCAGATGCCAAAAGCAATGCTCTGAATTTTCAAGTGACTTGAAACACAGAATTCTAATATCCAAGAAACAATATTGAAGAATGAAGACTAGAATTTCAAGACAGAAAGTTTCTAAATTACAATCCATGCTGAAAGAATTACTCAAAGATACACTAAAATACTTAATTCACAAGAAAAAACTAAGGTAGTATAAGCTATTACAAAGAAAAATGAAAACAAAAACCTTTCATAAATAAGAAACTATTAGATACTACCAGAAACAACAGAGACAATCAGATAGATTTATAAATAATAAAATTACAAAAGATATAACAAAAACAAATTACATGAAATCTCAAAATTATGGGATGGAAAAATATACCAGTCAAGATAAAAAGCATTAAAGAGGATATGGACTTAAATGGGATACTGATATACTTTATCTTATAACACCAAATAAAATACAAATTCATGAACATTTATACAACTAGCAGAAAAACACCAAAATAAACCAGAATAAGGATGATTAAAAGGAGAAGACTGGAAATTTCATCATAGCAAAAGATGTGAATATATCTCTTTCAAAAACTGATAAGTTCAGATGAAAAAGGATAAATATCTAGAATGTTAGTAAATATACAGAAATAAAATACACAAGGATTAGAAAATAAAGCTATCATTCTTTATAATTGATATAATGAAAAACAGAATTTAGCAAGAAAGATGGATATAAATCGGAACTACCAAATAATTCGCCTCATCAAGCATAAACATAAAACATAATCTTAAAAACTTTAGTGCCTAAACTAAGGGTGTGAGAGAAATTTAGAATTTTTCCTTTTACAGAAAACTATAAAACTTTAAGGAAAGACATCTTGTGGATGGGCAAAGGAACTACTGAAAAAGAATAGAGGCTCTATAGGAGACATGAGTGGTAGAACTGCAGATAACTAAGAGATGGTAAGATAGTTAATAAACAGTACTGGTAAATTTGGTAACCCTAACTTGGAGCAAAAAGAAACAAACTCCTTATATCATAGCATATAAAAAACAAATCAATTCCAGAGGGATTGATTTTTAAAAGAACATATGGGAGGCTATTTTTATGACATTAGAATTGGAAAAGGTTTCTTAAGTAAGATGTAAAAAGTATTATCTACAAGAGAAGAGTGATAAATACAGCTACCTTAAAAATAATAAATTTGTTCAGGCTAGGTGCGGTGGCTCACGCCTGTAATTCCAGCACTTTGGGAGGCTTAGGTGGGTGGATCATGTGAGTTCAGAAGTTAGAGAGGAGCCTGGCCAACATGGTAAAATCCCATCTCTACTAAAAATACAAAAATTAGGCAGGCATGGTGGCAGGCACCTGTAGTCCCAGCTAGTCGGGAGGCTGAGGCAGAAGAATCACTTAAACATGGAAAGTGGAGGTTACAGTGTGCTGAGATTATACCACTGCACTCCAGCGTGGGTGATAGAGTGAGACTCCGTCTCAAAAAGAAAAAAAAAGGAGTAACATTTGTTCAAAGGATCAAAGGACACAATAAAGGAGTGAAAAGACACACGTAAAAGGTTTTACACATTTTATGATGATACTGCAACATTTACTGGATAAAAGATTAATGTAGGTAAAGATTACCTATGGGGGAGAAAACACCTAGGGAATAAAAGGCAAAATACACCAAAAGGCATTTCAGAAAGTAGGCAGCATGAATGGTGATGAGATATACAAACTTAACTAGTAACCACAGAAATGCAAATTAAGACTATAATGAGCTATAGTGAGATACTATGTCTATCAGATTGGCAAAAACTAAGAAATCTGACAATAATGTTATACACTGTTAGTAGGAAAATAAGTTTTAACAAACATTATAAAAAATGGTTTTTAAAAGGGAAAAGTTAAGTATGTCTATACACTGTGATTCATCAACTTCACTCATAGGAATAAAACCTAGAGAAATTCTTGCTCCTATGTAGCAGGGGGCTTCAATAGAAACATTCATAGCAGCACTGTCCAAAAGAGTAAAGAAATTGAAATATTCCATAATCTGGTAGGAGAATAAACAAATTATGAAATATTTTCCACAGTCAAATTATATAGTAACAAATGAATGAATCATAATTAGATTTATTAACAAAGATTCTTAGAAATAAATATGGAGTGGCCGGGCGCGGTGGCTCAAGCCTGTAATCCCAGCACTTTGGGAGGCCGAGGCGGGTGGATCACCAGGTCAAGAGATCGAGACCATCCTGGTCAACATGGTGAAAACCCGTCTCTACTAAAAATACAAAAAAAAAAATTAGCTGGGCATGGTGGTGCGTGCCTGTAATCCCAGCTACTCAGGAGGCTGAGGCAGGAGAATTGCCTGAACCCAGGAGGCGGAGGTTGCGATGAGCCGAGATCGCGCCATTGCACTCCAGCCTGGGTAACATGAGTGAAACTCCATCTCAAAAAAAAAAAAAAAAGAAAGAAAGA